CACGCTCTCTACGAAAAATAAAGAGACGCAGTCGCGGCACCAGAGAAACGTCTGGATCATACGAGCTCGACGTAAATTACGAACCGGTCAGACCCAAAGTGCACATTTAGTCGCGATTATTGCACGGTAGAAATCCATGATTATTTTAATATCGAAGGAAATGACTGTTTGCATCGAGCATTTACGAAAACGCAGCTTTCTGAGATCGTCTACAGGTGTTCATTGAGGAATGTTCGAAGAAATCGAAGGACAGCATGAATATTACAATGAGAGATAAAAGTATTCGTATAGTTGGAATGTAGAAAAAAACAACAAATATTTTTTAGAAAATTCTACTCTTAGGATTCTTGGTTACCATAATTTTTTTCACCAAAAATCTCATCATCGAGCTTATATGTGTATATAATTTTTATACACATATAAAATAAAATTTTAATAAAATAAACATTTAAATAAAAGATAACGGTTTTATTACGTAAATGTAACTACTTCGAATTCACGATTTTGCTTCGCGTAATAAGATCGCGTCATGCTAATACTGTTACCTAATACTCGTCCTGTTTAATGAATATGAACTATTTTTTCATGACGTCGCGTCCTCTTAATTATCGGAAGAAGACACTAAAATTTCAATTAATTTCTTACATAGAGGAAATTGATCAATATAACCACACATACACTAGCAATATATACAATAACAATAATTTAACCAATATATAAAATCTAAATACAGATTTGTTTCATACATTAAACATTAAATAAGTCCTTCGCTTGAAATATTTTATATATTTTTCCACATTACATACATTCTGTACGTTTTTGCATCCACAATCTAATAATCAGAACAAAGATCCTATTCCATCAAACGAATATACCCATCCCCCGAACTGCAAACCAAAATATCACCTCTCGTCCAACAGCATAATCTCTCACCTATAAAAGTCGACAAACATCCTAAACGTCGTGCACAGAACAGACTACAACAACGATAAGAAGAATCGCTTATTACACGTAATATCCGATGTGCAGCTGCACCAAGCAACCCTCTGATCTCTCACTTTTTTTCTCTGAAGTGCATTCATTTCGGCGAGAGATGTCGAGGGCGTGACGAGAGGATACGAAGCAGAAGCGAAGCTCAGAGTGGGGGAAAAAACTGATTGCAGGTACCCACGAGCAGCACTCAATTCAGATAATGGAATGACTTGATCGCGGCGGCAACTTCGTCTTCTCGCGCTCTCAAGGTACCTTTACCACGCCGGAATAAATTGGCGGCGCGGGCTGCGTCACTTCCAACGCCTACCAAACACGCTCCGCGAATAAATTTGTATCTCGGCTTCCTCTTTGCTCGTCCTTTTGTCGACCGTGCTTTCTCCATCCCGATATTAAATCGATCGACGTCGAATTTACCACGCTTCCGTGATAAACTAAACGATTTTTCATTCGTCACTTTACGAGAGATCATAAGAAATTTCAGCTCTATCCGAATAAGCGTGGTTATCTCTTGACCAAGCAAAAATGCAGTTTTCGACGCGCATGTTTAACACTGGAACTAGTGATAGTTCTATCTGAGTGAATAGTTAGATAGTTGGAATAGAATAGAATAGATAGTTCGTTCTCAGTGAAAGAACGTAACCTGTCAGAACAACGTGGTTTATGACAAAGTATTTGTTACTCAGACATCTAAGAATGAAAATATGAAATTCGACGTTGTTTCCTTGCATAAGGATAATTCTATACAACACATTATGTTTTATACAGATTTGTATGTTTGGGGAATAAAGTTAAATAAGAACAGGGATCGCTAATATTTTTTCATATTATGTGAATTCTCTATAATTTTGCACTATCAAATTTCCTATAAATGTAGAAAAACCCGCAGTTTATCGCGGAATTTCGCTTTAACTCTACAACTACCGATAGTTAACGCGAAACTATTTCTACCAAAACCAGTGAACATGACTGGTCTTCAAAAAATACGTAATAATAGAATATTTTTGGTATTATTAATCCATCTGGGACCATCATCCCTAAACGAGGATTTATAAAATTGTAGAACCAGTCATTTTAACTGCTGTGGTATTTCTAGCGTTGGCATCTAGCGATCTAGCGATCGATTCGGAATTTTCCTCGTAACTGATATCATCGTATCGAATGATACGCGGTAAAAATTTTAAAAACGTGTGGCAAGTTGAAAAACGAGGAAACTGGTTAATTGGAGTTAGATAAACAGATTGTAGAATTCTCTTAGACTGTGACAAGTACCAGTCATTTTGATTGATGTTGGTACAAGTAGCCTTGATACAAAATTATTTTGAATACATAAAAAACAAAATAAAATTCATTATATTATTCCTTTAGTTATCGTTGCGAAAGTCATTACATCATTGCGGAAAAAATATAACACGAAGTAGGAATTTTAAAATAAAGTTGTAAAACCAGTCAATTTTACTGGTGTGGTAGTTCTAGTGTTAACACGTGGACCACGTATCCCATTTTCATTTCCTACGATATTGTACGAATAAATAATTTTCATACAATGCCTGTTCTTATATCGTGGAACCTCACATATGTGTCCAATATGAATTATTGTAAAATACTTTTCACATTCAAATTTTCACATTTCAATTTTCGCATTCGGAACAATACCATATATACGCAATCTAAAAATACCTATCTGTCGATTTTAATGTCCCATTGTAAATGTGTGAAATAGATAAAGAACAATATGCAGGTTGTCGACATTGTATGTATGGTTTCGCATATGCGGTCTGATCAAAAAATAATGAAACTACTTTCCTTATAACTCATTGCCTGACTGGTAAAGTAAGTGTTCACTTGAGAGTAAAGCTATCGCGAGTTGTTCACGAGAGTATTTCTTGCAAGCGAACACCGCGTTGAGAGCGATTATCCGAGTCACTATCAGATTGGATAGCCACTTTCAACGCAGCGTCCACTTGCAAGAAATGCTGTCAAAAGTAACTCGCGGTAGATTTACTTTCGAATGGACGCGTACCTGTAACTCTGACAAAAACAAATGAATTATTACGATCTATGTATCTTATTGACGTAATACGCACGTGTTAATTGATTTCATCGATATAAAGCAATTTCTAAATAAATGTTTGGTAAAACAGAGATGCTGTATCACAACGTAACAAGCAGCTCTCCATGAAAATTACACTGGTCATTGGTCAATGAATTTTTAACAGCAAAGAAAATTGTAGTCGCTACTGTAATTCCTTATATCGTAACATTCACTTTCACACAATCTGGAACACTAAAAAGATTGTGATCAATCAAGCAGATATTCTAATGAATTAACATTGCTTTAAGAAGTAGGAAAAACGTTTGCATCGATGTACTTTTGAAACTTTCAAAAGGCACAATTTTGAAGAAGATCGCGTTGCTTCTTAGAAATCTGGCATACAAAGTTTTGCGTCGCTACTTTTTCTCAAGAATGTTATTTTCGTTCAGTTAAGCTACGAGTATCCATTTTGGACTGCTTCGTCGAGTAAAATCGGTTATTTAAATGGAAATTGTCAGAGGTGTATTAAATTAGAACTCATTTTCTGGTTGTGTTCAAACTAACGTTAGTAACGAGCTAAGTTGGATTGCAATTACAGGACTGCCGAAGAAAGTAACCATGCCAAAGACACGTTGAGCTAGTTCTGTAAAAGGAGATGTTTGAAGAAAGATTGTAATTAACGAAGCATTAGTATGGTATTAAGAGTTCTGTTAAAATGTAAGAGAAACACTTAATATTCAAATGAATTTCAGGAAATGAATAAATAACGAAGAACGAGATAAAAGTACTCTCGAAATTACTCTGAAGATCCTCGGCATGAATACCAGGATCTTACTTGTCAGCGCATGATCATTAATCAAATTAAATGAACTAGAATATATTATACACACGTACATTTTAAATACGATTTACGAATATATTTGTTACATTTTCAAACACCATAAACACAGAATAGCTTCCGAATTTTTAAATATTTCGAGCCGGTACGAACTTAAAATATTTGAATTAACTCTGATATAAGGACTTTCTCTATTTAATAATTTTATTTATTTATTTATTTAATAAATGTATACCATAACATGTAAATATCTCTTGTTATATAATTATTCTTTTAAACCATGCTATACAAGACTGGATTATTTATATCAAAAGAACGAGGACCGAATTCAGGATAAAACGATGATATGCAGTAACCCAGGGTTAACAAAAGATGATTAAACGCGTGTTCTAATAGCAAAACGAGGAAACGAGGATCGAGGAGATGTATAAATCCGTTCCAATAACCGTGATATTTACGGTTAATAGATACGACTCGATCTCTAAGACTCGTACGTTTAATAAACGTAATTAGCTTCCGCTTTTATTGCGTGCCGTTCAGCCGACACTGCTACGAAGGCTGATTTCTCAAGGTCGAAAACATCGAGCTCAGTCGTTATTCACGATTACCAATAATAAATTCACCCATCACGAGCGTGCGTCTTGCGCAAGGGTTACCGGGGAGGATGGCGCGCGCGATATATCGATTTTCGCGAGGAGTTTAACCGTCGATGGTGATTAATTGTGCTAGCGTTTAATCTTTGCGCCGAGTTTTAAGAGATATTTCGTTTAACCGACCGGCCTTGAATTATTGCCTTGAAAATAATCGTTCCCTCTGTTCTTCTGTGTGCTTCACCACGAAGGAACATCATGGTGAACATGATAACCGCGTGACTTATCTTCATCTGGAATGAATATTCCCCTAAGTTTCTTTTTCTTCGTGGAAAAAAAATGGAGAAAATAAATTAGGGAAGATTTTCAAGGAAACGAATGACTTTCGAGTTTTGAACATTTTATTGGATGACTAGGTCATTAACTCGTCGAGTGCTAAATACGACTGAGTCACTATGTCCAAACACATTAGTCAGCCTCATTTTTCAAGAAGTGAAAAATCTAGGAAAAGTCTAGTTGGTTGCTACGTAACTAAGAACCGCGGAAAGATGGAAGAGAAAATTTAATAAACTTTAATTTAATTACGTATCACAACTCTTACAGATATCATCCATTTAGTTTCGTAATTCATTAAGTTATAACTTCATCCTCTGTTACAATACGTCTTCATGACTTGGAAAATAGAACGAATTTTTATGACAATAAACGTAGAGCATCGTTTTATAGACAGTAACAATATATTAACTTACACCACTTTGAGTCCGCAATTTTTAGCAATATTACGTATCTACTCTCAATAATTTAGTAAATAATTTTATCCACAGTTGTATATTCGAAATGTCCGAAAAATATTATCACATTTATGATTAAAATCGGTCTTAACGTTTCTCGGCCAGATTCTAGCCGTTCCGTGGAAAAAGCCCCTAAATTCGATTAAAATACAGAAAAACGAGCAACGAATGTCAATTGGACGACATATATGTGTAAATTTAGAAGTGAAAGTAGTATTTCCTCAGAGACACGTAAGCGTAGATAGCGATTAGTTAGCTTCATGTTTCTCGCGAAGGCGTTAGAGCAAACACAAGACCGCAGTTGGCATTCGATTACCGGGAGACTTGATGGCTCGTTACTGCCTCCGGTGTGGGAGCTGGAATTGAAAACGTTACCTTTAACACCCTGTAAGCTCAATTTCGTTCGTGTGATGGTGCAATCGATAAGCGATTGCCGGATTAATGCGAGCTTCGTTCACATAACGACCATATAAATTGCTGCTTTCATCGACTACGAGAATTCGTTTCATTTTGATTATTAAACAAAATTAAAAAAAAAAAACTTTCAAAACACACAAATATATCATGGTAATTTAATACACAGTTTGAAGTATTGCAGTATAAGCATAAACCTAAAATTAAGCGGAACCACGATTTTTCGAGGGTGATTTTAATGATTGTTCATGAGCTAAATCGCGGGGCGTCCACGCGGCATGAAGAATAGTCGCGATTCATCACGCTGGAACGGGAGAGAATGGACGGAGGAAAGAGATAAGTAATCGTAGAGCTTAAAAAGTGCGCCACGGAGCGGCGATGGCGGACGAAACGATCTAACGCCGGCTTAACTACATAAGTACATCTTTCTTTTACGTTGCTCGCGAACAGAGCCTGCAGCCTCTCGCCACCTTCGTCCTTCGTTCAGCCCTTATTTCTCTCCTTTCATCTATCCGATGCCTTCTTCTACCCCCTTGCGTGGCCGTCCCACTCCCGCAATTCTTTTCCATCCATCCTTTTTCATACCATTCACTCTATCTTCTATCATAGTCTTCGGCAAGTTATGCTTCTCATACGGGAACGACTAGTTAAGTTATCGCGGATCTTTTACAAGCGGAAAATTAAGATTGAGCGGAACCGACCACGATATTGATTTTCCACGGATGAATCTTCCTATTCTCTTTACATTTGTTGGTTTCCCAATTTGTTTGGTTTCATCATTTTCCCGCGTTTTCCAGCGAAATATATATCGATATTTTCATCGTTGATACTCTTCTTCCTTTCGTCGACGTCTCTCGACTTTTCCTTTGGAAGATCGTACCTCGGGATTCTGTTCATCCCTCAACCCCCACGATTTTCCTCTTGCACCCTATTATCCGCGGTGGACACCTTGCCGCGCGTTTCTTCAATTTCTAAATCTTCTCTCGAAGCCCACGCCGTTTTCTTCCTCTCGTGCGTTCCCTTCTTTGTCTCTCCAATAAAGAAGCTCCTCAGCAACCTCTTCACCACCTCTTCTACCCCCTTCTCTCTCTTCGTCCTCCCTTTCTTTTCCCTCCAGTGTTCGCTGCAGCCCATACTAGACTCGTTCTCTCCTCGTTCCAACAACCTCCTCCCTGTCTTCCTTTCTCCGTGATCCTCCTTTCCTCCTCTCTCTTTCTCGAGCGTTCGCGCCGCCTTTCTGCGTTACGGTACGATGCGGCAGAGCCGCGCC